CGACTTTTCCCCATGTGTCTGAAATGCGTGATAAAATTTAGGTTTTCTGTTTATTTACATTTTTGTCGCTTTGTGGATTCATCTTTTTCCCGCTGGTATGGTTAAGAATGCCGCAGCACCCGACGGAATCCTTTTATATGATCAGCAACGACCCATTACCTGTTCTGGAGACGATTGCTTTGATGTTACAATGTGCCTGCAGGTTATAATTTTACTTTTTATTTTTATTTCCTTGAGTCACGTTTTATTTCATTTTCGATCTGCAAGTTTTAATAAAGTTTGGATTCTTTTATGTTTAATCAACGCTAACAACTTCGAAATGAAGTGACAAAGCTTAAAAAAATTTGTATGCAACATAGACAAGTGAACAAACACGATTAGTGTCGAAAGCGACAAATTTACTCCTTGTGAACAAAATATTTGAACGAGTCCCTTAACAATATTTTTTATACCTGACACTTTATTGATTAGTTTTGTTTTTCTGATTGTTGTAAGCTGAATGGGGGTTCTTATTGTTTGCAAGCGTATCTTAAACGTGCTCAATAGCTTTTGACAGCGGAATACGAAGTATCAAATTTCACATTCAATGGTTAAACTAGCAGATTTGCCGTAGGCACCTCTTGCACCGGACACTATAGCTTTCCAAAAGCAGTGGTTTGAAGGTATTGTTTTTCCTTTTACAAATTTTTATTGCTATGGAGGTGTTTACTTAATTTTCTTTTAATAGTCAAGATTTGCTTTGTTTCGAGTGTAAGGATTCAGTTATGTAATGTTGACAACACTCAAGATGCCGATCAACTGAGACAGAATATCCAGTTTGTGTTTAAGCGCACATCTCCAAGCACGCAAATCATACAGAAAAGTTCTCTAAGCAATACACCACACTTTCTATCGGTTTCCGGGTTAATAATCTACACAGGACGTTGGGAGAACACGAGGAAAGTTTGTAAACCACGAGACAAAGCCCTGTGGTTTGCAAACTTTTCGAGTGTTCTCCCAACATCTCCGGTGGTTCGTGACGCCGGTAAACCGATAAAATTGCGGTTTATTGCTTTTATGACATCAATGTGAGTGAAGTTCAGAAGTCAGAGCGAATGATAAATTTTTTCTTTCTTTTTTTTTGCGATGAAGTCGTTGATCCGCATGAAAACCGTCAGAAAGCGCCGGTAACTGAATTAACTATCAGCCGGAAAAGCAAAGACTGAAATTAATGTATCACTGAATGACCAAAATGGTTGAGAACCCGATCAGAAATTGTCAAGCAAACTGATTTGAAATAGTGATATGATGTATGCAATGGCCTTTCGCAGAAATTCAAGCGCAAGCGCCTTTGGTAAGCTTTAGTACCTTAGTGTTAGTATTTTAGATCTGTGGTAAACAAAGCAATAGCACAAATAATAATTTGCTTGGCCTTTGTTTCTCATCTCTGCCCTAACATTTAAAAAACTAGAGCAGTATTCCCTATGGAAAAAGGGACCAAACCCCCCCGAAACCTCGACTAATAAAAACCAACGACTATACTTTTCGGCGCTAAGATTACGGGTCTAGAACTTTTTCGCTATTGCAAATAAATGTCTCGAGAACACTAGGCATTCTGTGCAGGAGGTTAATAAAAGATGAGGCGCCCTCGTCATCCGTAGCTTGTCTCTTACATATTGGTGAACTGGTCGACCATCAGTTTGCATATATAGATATTGAAAAAGTTCACGATCTCGAATGGTGAGCCTCTTAAATTCTAGCTCTCTTTGGAGAGTTAGTTGTCTGGATTTCTTTGTTTTAGAATCTACACTTTGCCTGCAAATAAACTACTCTAACTCCCCCTTGGTAATACATATATATCTCATAGTAAGCCGACTTAATAACTGGAAACTCGGCCAGGTGTCGGCCGCTTTAATTTCTCTGGTAATAAGTCTTATTAGTATAATTGAAATCTAGGGCACTTGTTTCACCTTTATTTCTTTTCCTCTGTTTAAATAGCCATCGTTCATATCTACGCCTCCCAATGTAATGTGCCAAGCGCACATGTAATTTGTGGTTTACACTGCGTATCCTAGCGGGTATCGGTCAGATTTGCATCAATGCATAGCATACTTCCCGGCTGAAAGAATTTCATCGGTTCCTACATTATGTCAATCTGTTGAAAAGGACTGTCGTTTTCTATTGACGCTCGAATGTAGTGTTGAGTGGCTTTGACGTGTACCGGTCAAAGCTGATTAACGTAAGATATTCATTAACCATCACTTTTCCAATCCTACACGCACACAGAGAAACCGAAGCCAACTTTTACCACCCTGTGGAAGCTACTGGTCAGGTTAATATTTCGCTGTGTATTTGTGAACCAGGCGGAGAGGAGAGATACGTGCACACAGTAAGATCGGGCACACAGTCAAGCCGTAGTCATCTAATAGTTAGCAGTTGCAATACGATCATGATGGCAGCAGCTGAACTGATCTACCTTAACACTTTGTATATGTTTTGTGCTTTGACCTGCGCAGGGATCGAGACACTGGTAAAAACACGTCCAAAGCAGTTTAAAAGAATCTGCAAAAAATCTGCCTCTGTGGAATTCACGTTCACAATATGGACCTGTCTTTACATTGCAACGTTGCTTTGTGTACTTTGGCAAATGGCTTTTCAAACACAATCGCCAGACATAAAGTACCTTTGTTCGTGGTTTTCTATTGTTCAATTTGCTTTCTTCTCCACATTTTTGCTGAGCTACGTTGCGTGTTTCAACAGCGTTTCCATAGTAATTTGTGAAATTTTTTTTCCCACCATAAATGCTACCGCATGGATAGTTGTTATGGTTTGTCTCTCAGATGGACAAGGGGTTGCAGAATTTCGAGATTTGCGGTATTTCACTGTTCATATTCTTCCTGCGGTTGCTGCATCATTTCATGTTTTTCAGCTTCTGTGGATTTTCATCCACTGCAACCAAAGGTCAGCTCAAAACAGTTTGGACAATCTACAGTCCCGCCTTATTGCTGACGTCATACGCCTTAAGTTATGATCAAACTGAAGTTTATAGCTACAACTTAAGTCCTCCAAATCCCCTGTTTGTGATATTCATCGGAATATTTTCTAATGTAAGATACGTATACTTTCCATTTCAATTAAGTTGAAGAAAAATTTGAGCTGTTCTGTTTTATTTAGGTGGATCGAAGAGCAATCAAATGGTATCTTGTAAAACATTAGCATGCAGTTTTTCCCAGGATTATTGATAATGAGGACGAAAAATGTATTTTTAAAAAACTGGGTCAAGTATATTAAAAAATAAAGAAATGACTATAGAATTATTCCTATTTGAATATAAGAAGCTTGTACCTGATAGTAGGGCAAAAATTAACAGCCACATTGAATAGATACGTATACTTTCCATTTCAATTGAGTTGAAGAAAAATTTGAGCTGTTCTGTTTTATTTAGGTGGACCCAAGAGCAATCAAATGGTATCTTGTAAAACATTAGCATGCAGTTTTTTCTAGGATTGTTAATAATAAAGATGAAAATGTATTTTATAAAGAACTGGGTCTAGTATACTCAAAAATAAAGAAATGAGTATAGAATGTTTCCTATTTGAATATAAGAAGCTTTCACTTGATAGTGGGGCAAAAATTAACAGCCACATTGAATACATGTGAGAAAATTAAATAGAGACTAATACAGGGGCGCGCGTAGATATGTCGAGAATTCAACTCGATATCGCGCTGAATTCTTGACATCGAATTGAACACTCGAAGAGAAATTCCATTTCTACAAGAAGCCATTTATAATAAAACACAATTGCCCTTTACTGACAAGAAAAGTAGACTTAATCAATGAATAAAAAAATCCGCGTAAAACGCGTGGGTGATAAGGCTCAAGATTAAAATAATGCGTCGAATCACTACAAAAACAAACAATGGGGGTTGCTTCAATTTACATAATTCGCATTCCTTGACTTTTCCTTACCAATGGAAGAAATAGTCTCAAATACTCCGCCAAAATCGGCCTGTGGCAAATCTTCCAGATATTGATCGATTTTCGTTCTCAGCCTTGAGAAATGTATAACAAGGGCTAACAACTTCGAAATGAAGTGACAAAGCTTTAAGAATTTGCATGCAACAGAAAAAAGTGAACTAAAACAATCAGTGTCGGAAGCGACAAAGTTACACCTTGTGAACCAAATATTTGAACGAATCCGTCTAAAATATTTTTAGCACTTGACGCCATATTGACCAGTTTTGTTTTTCTGATTGTTGTCAGCTGCATAGGGTTTCTTATTATTTGCGAGCGTATCTAAAACGATGCTTAATTGCATTTGACAGCAGAACACAAAGCACGAAATTTCACATTCATTTGTTAGACTAGCAGATCTGTCGTAGATACCTCTTGTACTAGACACTATCACTTTCCAACAGTGGCAGTAGATCAGAGGTAACGTTTTTCCTTTTACAAATTTTCATTGATATGGAGGTGCTTATGATTAGAAACTAATATATAGGTTATCAACTAATAATATGAATAATGATAATTTATAGACTTATATCGCGCAATTATCAATGTAAGAATTTTCAATTGCGCATTATGATTAGATGTTAAAATTCAACCCTACATAGATACTAAAAACAAAAAAAATATAAAAATAAAAATAAAAATGTTCACTAAGATGTAAAAATGTAAAATTAGATACAAAGAATTAAAAAGCTTTTGCGAATAAAAAAGTTTTAATGGCGTTCTTAAACTTGTTCAAAGATTGGGAGTTTATGATAAAGCCCGGAAGATCGTTCCACAATTTAGGGGCGGCCGCATGGAAAGATGGTTCGCCGAGCGTGGTGAGTGTTTTACCCCTGCAAGGAGCAAGGAGTAAGCCGTCATTGGAACGTAAACTAATTCAAAGGCCCACGATTTTGAGCCTCTTAAATTGATCTTTCCGTTACTCTGCTCTTTATCTTAAGTTCCCTCGACATTTCTTTCTTTCTTGGTTTACTTAGGTCTAATTTCACCTTAAGGTGCCGTTGTTATGGAAAACACAACACAGAAAGAACCGAGAGGCGACACTGCAGATCATCAAGGTAATGCAGTTCTAGCAATATTTTCTTTCTTGCTGTAACTGTGATGGCCCGACCTACCTCTGCATTTCCTACTGCTTAAGTACTGTAGGCAGATGAAAGAGCATCCAGGTATCCGAATGTTAGCAATGGCCAGATACTGTTTATAGCTATATATACTAACATGAAAAGGCGTGGTCCTTTCGGTCCGTGATTCTTCATATCAAAGCATTGCATTCTAACTGATTTAGATAATCACAAGATATCTGCAGCTCTATGCAACTTTCAGATTGGGATGTAACTTCCCTATACGACGTATTGTCTTTAATAAGCGATAAGTGTCTTCTTCAGTTTCCCCAGAATCCTTATGCGAAAAAGCCTCTTCAAGAGCTACAGGGTGGTTTTAAATAGCATTTGGTCCGGTTTCCACGAGTACACCAACGATTTACTGGTGCTAATCCCCCCCATCCTCCCCCCCTCCTTCCGCCACCTTAGTCACTTCTCGCCTCTGAATAAATCATTCTATAACTTCGTCCTGTTTAGTTGAATTCAAGCAAAAGAAGTGTCTTTCTACACGGGCTGTTAGGACTGCAGCACTTTTGGTTGGCATTTTCCTGGCAGCTGTTGCTGTTTTGTCAGCTTATGCTGCAGGTGCGTTTGATTCCAATCCAGATTTACCGGAAATTATGGAAGGAGAGGCTACATTTACAGCTGATGACAGCAAGGGGGAAGTTTTCCACGTAATGATCGATTATAAGAGAAAGCTAATACAACTAACCTCATTAAATGATCAAGCAGCGTCGCCGCATTTATTTGGAAGGCGTCTAATGTCCTTCGAAGAAAACAAAACAGTAAACGGGACGCGAATTAATGCAACAAAAATCGTCATACAGGACTACAACGCGGTGAGTTCCAATGTCATACCATAATTATCGCAAGGTTTTGGTCGGAGGAAAAAACAAATGCAAAAACAAAAACAAAAAAGAATTTCAATAAGCACAAAAGTAAAAAAATTTTTCTCCCTATACCAAGAATATGAAAGTCAAAGGTACCAATAAAAAGGTAATTTGGCATTCTAACTTAGTTTTTATAAAGCTAAAGACCATTTCGTCTTAAACTCGTTGATAACTCATCAAGTCTTGGAAAAAAGGTCACACAGTCCTATTTTTTTGCGATTGAGGCTTAAGTTCGATTTGTTTTTTTTGAAGCGGGGGGGAGGAGGGGGGTGCTGGGTGGTTAAAGAGGGTTGTCCCTCGACTAAAGCGACTGACCATTAATTAACCTATTATTATCATGAAAGCTATTGTTTTGACAGTAATTTTGCACACCCAACAAAAGTGTAATTGTCACAGTTACATAATGACCTAAAAAAGCAACAAACCAAAATAGATTAGAAATAAGTCAACTTGCGAAGTTTTTTAAAAAAAGCCATGCAAACTTAGAATTCCAAAGACAAATTTAGGGTTTTTTCAAGACCATGCATTGTTCAAATGTAAAAGTGTTTTGATCGTTTTCGCAGCATCTCTCTTTTTTTTTTACTGTAATAATCCATATCATTGCACTTTTCCAGCTTGTAATTAATTCTGGCGACTAAAACTGCTAAAAACTACATCTTTACATTAATTGAAACAGATTGAAATCCACGCAATTGCCAAAGCAAATGAACGAGCTTGCGTCAGCCTTAGGATTGTAGTAAACGAACAAAGTTGATTTACTACACTACTTGTTGATCGTTCAGTCTTACATGTTTAATATTTTACCTTGCAGAAGCGAAAGTACTTTGTTGTCCCAGAGAATGGAAATTCAACAACAAAGTGCATTTATACTGATCTTGAAGGAGAAATGATTCCCAGGCATTTACTGAAGCACGCTACCCTTAAATCGGTAAGTTAGATAACTTTAAAACACAGCTAACGTTTAATATTTTAATATATTACTTATAACTCTAAATCCGGGTCGAAGACAGGATCCAGAATATCGACTTGCTAGGACAATAAACAAGTCAGTGGCATCCAATATACGACTTTCTTTATTTCCTTTTTAAGCTGCATTAAAAGATAACGGATTTAACATGTCTAATTCGGGTTTTTCCGCCATAAATCTTCACTTATTTTACTCGTCTAATCACTGATATCAAATACTAGGTCACTAATATCTTTTTTAAAGGAAAGCGTCGAGGGCAATATTACCCATACCCTATTTCAAGTTGATAATGACACTGATGTGGACGTTTATCGAGCGAAAGGGTACAATGGAAAGATTTACGAGGTAAGATCTTGAACCTTTTTTAGAGCAAACAAATATTATCGATAGACTGCTCTTCTCTGGGATTACATATATCTCTATATACATTTCCTTTTTTTTTTCCTTCATTGATTTTTACATCCAATTGACTGGTTCTTCAGTACTTAATTTCGTCAGGTTTTAATACATAATATCTCTCCTAGATTTACTTACATCTCCCAAACGGTAGCATTCATATGCGTTCCAAGGAAAAGGAAATGAACTTCACTGACTACAAACATCTGAACTGCTACAGGTATCTTGAAGAGAACGACACAATTGAGGAGGCCTTCTACCAGTCAAATGACTCGAAGTTTTGTAAGTTTTCACAACCGGTTTTTACCCTTTTTTTCCACTAAGTCCTGAGCATTCATTAAGGGTCATGCTCATGACAATTCAACCAACATCAAAAGGATATATTATTGATTGAAAAAAATAAAGGAGATATAATACTAAATATCTACGTATTTTTGGTTGTTTTTGTAGTCGTTGCTATTTTAAAGCGCCATCACACAGTCGTGTCCGTTTCAAACGTTCATTAAATTACAAGAAAACTAATCGGCGCTTTGACTGTCATTTTGATTACGTATCTGAGGTATATAAGAACATTTAAGATATATTAGATAAGAGTAACAATATGGGAAAAAAGGGGAACAAAGAGACTGCGCTAAATTTGATACTGGTAGCCGATGAACCCTTTTATGCACAGAAGTAAATTCGTGTCTGTTCTACTCAGATCAAGAGTCAACCAAATTCGCAGATCCTGAAATAGAGAGAAATATTCAGGGCACTTCTCATAACTTGACTCAGCTGTTGAACCAGACGACATCATTTAGCAATGAAAGTCTAGCTAATCAACTGCCGATGACCTCAAGACGCCGCCGCCGGGGGATTGGATGGCGTGGAGGGAGATTGGACTGGTGGTACGGAAACTGGTGTGGGCCTTACCAGGGCGGTTACACTTATAACCCAAAGCCATCTTGCAGGGGCGTTTGCCGTACTACAAGCTATGTGAGTAGCGCCTGTCGTAGGTGCCTCCCAACAAAAGACGGATTAGATGAAGCGTGTATGGAGCATGACAGGTGACAAAATGTCTCAGTATAGTTTAATTTGTTGCTCCCTTGAAAGCACAGTTTCCTGTACGCTTGACGACAAATTAATACGCGCATACCTCAATACTGAGCCACTTCCGAGTTCTCGCGGCTCGGTGATCTGGTACCGAAATTACGGCGCAAGTACGAGGCTAAGTGCGACGTCCTTCTCATCGGTATAAAGAATAAATTGTCGTAGTAGTGAAAATGAGAGAAAATTTCTCGAATTCAGTGAGGGAGTGAAAAATTATTCGTGGGAGAGAGGCATTCAACAGCTGTTGAAGGCCTAAATGTAGTAGCTGTCCTTATGTAATAAGGTCCGGGCAATCAGCGTCTTCTTATTTGCTAGATTTAAGTTGAGAAGCATTGGCTGCAAACCGTCATGCCAATGAACAACTGGCATCAATTGACAGCTGGCAAAACAATGAGTACGCTGACCGATTCCTCTCCATATATCATTGGCTCAGACTTGAGTACAAAAGATTTGGAAAAATGTACTAACGTGATACTTGTGTGATCAGTGATGGAGTTAACAAGTCCTAAACCAACTAACAGACTTGGACAAGGGAGTCCGCTGACTTGAAGGTCGGACAATTTGCAGGCTCGGATATACATTAGTTGAACTTGAGATATTGCATTTCTAGCCCTCTGCAGGAGCCCAGTATCAGTGGCTTCACTCCACCTAAGTAATCAGTTCATGTACCATACAACTGTAAGTGGAAACCGTTGAGCTTTGTTTTTCTTTTATTTAGTTGTCTATTCATTTTCTCCCCCTACGGAGGGGAGAAGAGATAAAGACAAAAAATGAAAAACAAACTTGAGATCGACTGTGGAATGTACGTTCTCTTTTGACCAAGCTTATTCGGTCAAGATAGCTGGATATTAACCTCGTTCATTTTCTGCGTTTTTATGGACCAACACTGGGTCGAGGTCCATAAAAACGCAGCAAATGAACTCGGTCTATAACCAGCCATCTTGACCTCACGCTTGGTGAATAATGCATATGAATATATTTCATGGAAACCCATACATCTGGCAAGGGAAGACATTACAAAAAATGCACTTCCGAGCTCGGAATTTGTCTAACTTATAGGTCAATAGACTTCCTTTTCCGTGTAATTTGATTCTTAAAATGTTAACTTCGGCACTGATCACACAAATATATCGTCAAAATATTTTGTACGAAGAGTCTGAGCCAATGAGATAAAGAGAGGTATTGGCAGCGTTCTCATTGCTTGGACGTTTGTCAATTTAATGCCAAAAGCACATCATTATACGGGTTTGTAGCCAATGCATCTCTACCTACATCTCTAACAAATAAAAGACGCCGATTGATACCAACGAGCCCGCAATATGCCATGAATATTGGTCAGAGGATTCTTTGGTGCAACAGCTGTCACTTAAACATCTAAATGTGAATGTCCGCTATAACAACAATGCACCAGCCCCATTAAATGATTGCATTGAAGGCTTCTTACATTTAGGAACAGCTATTACATTTAGGCTTTCAGCATTCAGCTTAGTGATGGCAACAAAGGAAAAAAAGGTAGAACTATTCGATTTATGCAAGAAAGCTGCAGCAATGAAGCAGATCCGCCAATGCTAAAGACTGCAAAAGCTGTTGGGGGAGAAATTTTAAATAAGTGAAGGTAAATTCCTAAATTTTGGATGTTTGAATGCCAAACTTCAGTAAGTTTCTAGAGATCTCGTTCGGCGTTCGCATGTAGCCTAGGCAAGCCCAGCCTCAGTTTCTCCTATGTCATCATTTGTTATTAAGCGTGATTTTTTTCTTGCTGATTCGTAGCAAGGGCTTACTGTAATTCGCGAAATATTCTGAACGAAACCAACTGGAAGTCTGTTATCTGCAAACTAGAGTTCCTTTAGTCTCCTAACAAACTAGGAACGAGAAATTCGAATTGCTTAAGCAACAATACTTTTCGCCGACAGAAAGTCAGGACGTGTTAGAACGATAATTGGTAAAAACGAAATTAGCTGCAATAGGCCTTGATAAACAACAGTTATGCGGGTAAGAGCTGAATCCCAATCCTAATATTTCGAAGCGAATGGAAGAAAAACAGTGAAATTTTCCCAGTTGTAAAAATGTGGTCGCCATAAAAATTTTAAGGTCCGTAAAGGTAGGGAATAATAACGTCAAAACCTTCTTTACTTTTTGGATTACATTTTACTTTAAATTATCACAAAGTTATAAATATTCAAAAAGTTACAGTTCTCCTAAAAGTCAAGTCAAGTTTTAGCATTTCCTTCTGTTAAAATGTAAATGGAAAAGCAATGTACGGTTTCTTTTCATTCTTCAGATGTATTGAACATAGAGGCGGTGGTCCTTGGTGGTGCCTGCCTATTGGAAATCCGTGCAAGTGTGACAGCCCGTTTGTATGGGAAGCCTTCCGCCAGATATGGAGTTGTTCATCCCTAACCTGCCGATGGCACGCTTTACAAGTCTTCTCGTCATTTATGAGCCTTTTATCCTGTTGGTTTCCTGTCAGGTTTTGCTTTCCTTGGATCCGGTTTGTGTGCAGATGCAAGTATTGTTTGTGTCCCAGGATTGTCATATACTGGAGGTGCATTTTTTTTAAGATGTGCGCTTTCTTTGGTACTGGAAAGATTTTTGCTTGATTTGATAGGCGTATCTGCATAACAGACAAAACATTGTTAAGCCACAGATTGTCTTTAAAATAACGACGTTATGACAAACTAATTGATATTAAAAGTGTTAGTGGTTTTATATAGGGCACAAGAAAGATAGAGTTAGACCACTACGTATCATATGTAAATGTTGATGTTTTTGCGAATAACCTAAGAGCTACGAACTTCAAACCAAAGCATGAACTCTTATGAACAGAGCTGTAATTAACATTCAAGATGACTTTGATTACATAATTGCCTTTCTTTTGATTTAAAGTAGAAAGAGTTCTCTTTAGTTTCCTTGTCGAGTTTACAACCCTATTTTCCAGATACTACCGTTCACAGTTTGAATTACTTACGTGGCTAGCATTCCTGGTAAACCAGTTTACAATTGTGCACGTGAATTATACCCTTATAATGGTAAATAAGTATCGAGGCAGCTGGAGTTCAGTGATCAACGGAGTTAGATCAGAGTTTTTTGAACACAACATTGTTCAAGTTACGTAACGTTACAGTTTCTTTAAGCCCTTTAAGACAGAATCAGACGTAAGTTCCATCCTATCGTATTTAGTTTCGTTTTCTTTCCGATTTCGCTTTTTTTGTTATTAGCTTCAGCCCATTTTTAATCTTGTACATTGCAATTTCCCCCTTTTAGTTTTCACCGCATGTGTATGGTACTCAGACGATAGCATTAAACGTTGTTGAATCAACTTGTGTTGTCTATTCCTAAGCTGTGGTTAACACTCCCCGAACTCCAGTGCACAACGCCCCGTGTCAATTGTATTGGGTACGCTACAAGAACTATGAACTCCAAATTTGGTGACTCTCCTTAATAAATTTATCCGTGCACGATTTGAAATGTACAAATTTAATTTCCATAGATCGACGTAAGATGTCTTTTTTCTATGATCAACCCCAGGTGGTAATGCAAGATTGAAACTCTCGCAAAGGAGTTTTAAGACTGCGAGTTCGAGATTTTTGAGTGTGTTATTCTCGACCATGGAACAGTTGTACTGTTGGTAATGAATAGAATGTAGCCTCGGGATGTGCAGACATTGTACGATTGAACCCTAAACAGGAAGGACATGTCAAAATCTCATTTCAAAAGACAGCCGTAGATCATTTACTGGTACTCATCGTCTATGGTGAATTCGAAAGCATGATACAGATAAAACCTACAAGTACTACTCAGTACGACATTTACAGTCAATCTCTAGCAGGAAGAATCCAGTAAGGAAGAAAAAAATGGAATTCGTTCCATTTACTACAGAGCAATTATCTTATCTCGCTAAACAAGATGCATGTCTAGCACCTATTTATGAAGGGGTATTTGCAGCAGACCAATTACCAGGATCACCAGAAAAAATTCAAGACAGAGCTTACATCGTCAACACAAAAAACTATAAATGTGAAGTGTTTGATAGTTACGGATTACCATTGAATTGGTACAAACCGTCCGATGTGGTCGAATGGGTTTTCGAAAATTTTGAAACCATTAACAGTAACGCAGTGACATTGCAAGAAATCGAATCACAATCGTGTGGACAATATGCATTGATGTATTTGAAAATGAAAGCCAGGGGTAAAAGCATGCACGATTTCATAAGTTTGTTTAAAAAAGGCGATTTCATGTACAATGATCATCTAGTGGGGGAAATGGTCAAACCGTTGTTAGGATGGAGAGTTAGAAATCTTAAGAGGATGTCCGCGTAAGAACCGACCATCGAGTTTTCGGCGCGACACGGAATTCCTTCAATTTTTTTTTGCAAGACAGTTAGTCTATATGATGAACAAAAATAGCAATAGTTTGGTTTGTAGTGCTTTTTATTAATATATTTGGCGAGGATTTCCGAAGGCGACCTTAAACCGAAAAATTCGCCCTGTTTCGAGTCAAAATTACACGTTGCGGTAAATGCGCTAAAAAATTACTCTTTTACTCAAATAAAATGAAACTTTTGCATACGTTTATTTCATATCTTGCCTTTAAATTCATAGTAAAATATTTGAGATCGGTGTTTAGGAAAAATAATAGTGAATTTTTGAAATACCTCCCAAAGGGCCCTCGGTAAATTTCGTTAAACATGCTTTTGGTTAAATAAGTGTTTCTCAAAAGTATAACGTAATCTGGAGCCCTGACTTCTATGCATGTTGAGTACTAGGGCTAGTGTACCAGAAACAACAAAAAAAGTTTTGGGCACTTAGGTTTTCGAGCTATGGGAGTTCGATCAAAATTGCCGTAATTCAAGGGTCAGAGAGTGCGTGACACAAATTTGCATAATTATGGTTTCTAACTTTGCCGCACAAAATTACTATCCGTGGGCGCAAACATTCTTGAAACCAACTCTATTCTGGAAATAAGGCATAGATAAACCGTGTTTTAAGCAGATTTGTGATCAATATTGCCGATATTTAACGTTAAGAGATGTGCGTGACATACATTTTGCATAATTTCGGTTACTTACTTTGCGACATAAAAAGACTATCCGGGAAAGATTATATTCCTGAAGCTAACTTTGTGCTCGGATTAAGGCATGGATATACCTAGATTTATGAAAAATTGTCCAACTTAAACAAAAATGTAGAATTAAGGTAAAATACGCGGTTCCGGTTACAGCTGTCTGTTTTTTTTTAACACAACTATGTAAATAGTTCCGGGTGTTTACCGAAATTCGGTTATCTTAAAAGTCATAAGGTTTTATAGAAAAAAAATAATTATTAAATGAAAAAGATTACTTTGTTGTGGTCATATCCCCAGTGGAAAAAGGGGGGTTGAATGTACCGTGACACCGAGAAAGGAAAATGTATATATCAGTCGGCTAAAACACGCCAGAATGTCTGTTAATTATGAACAGATTAACTTTTTTGTACATAAAAAAATTGTATTTGTCTACTTATTTCGGTAGATATGCATGAATAAAAAACGGCCCCTAGAAATGTGGCAAGCTTTACGATTAGTTTATAGTTTTGCGAAAAGCCAATAAACTTTGCCCCTCTCTCTCTCTCTCTCTCTCTCTCTTTAGATCTATAAGTAGATATTTGCTACTTTTTTTCTACTTACGATTTTAATTCCTTTAATTTAATAAGGAAGCGATTTAAAAGGCATTGTCTTAAAACAATAATACTTTATTCTTCGACTGTTGTAGACAGAAACTAAATTTTAAGGAATATAACATTTCTATAACCTTTTTTATATCACCTACGTAGCAACTACCTACTCTGCGGTACGCGGACCTAAATTTTAAAATAAAATCCGGCTTTTGGCCAAATCCGAAGGTCATTTAGGTAAGGATAAATGCCTTCAAACCCCCCATCAATCTGAAATATTTTTTGGTTCTTTGCCAAGCTTAGTTTGAATAATATCCTGTTGTTAGCTAACAATTAAACTCGACCTTAATCTGAACAGGATTTTTTGAAGGTGGCCACACCTTTTTTGCCTTTTAAAACCCCTCGATTAGTTTCTTGCGACGCTTTTTTTGCATAGAAGGTCAGCGCTTTGTATAAACGATTGCCTTCACCTTGTTTGACTTCAAATTTATACATTAAAACAAATTTATTCCAAAAAAATGTAATTTCGTTACAAATACGTATTTTTGTAGCAAATACCCACTTTCGTGTTTCGCTGAAGAAATATCTTGTTATATTTTAAATACGAAAAAACGGACAAGAAATCTAACTTTGGAATATGAGAAGCGCAATTCGCGTCTCTCCAAATCGGGCATCGTGGTCTATTTTTAAATTAAACAAGCAATTAATTTTTCTGTTTATGTGTGTTTTGAACGGTTTTTCTCGAAAAAATCCATTGTTTTTTAATCTCTCAGGATTCTGTGCTAGGATACATTGCCTCGGAAAACTTGCAAAAGATTCAATTGCCCTGGCATGTTATTGCACACTCTGGACTTTCTTAATTCAAAGAAATAAGTCCGGAGGGAGCAAATACTCACTTATATAGCAAATAGGCTCTAAGCCTGATCGTCGAAGTTAAGACTTGTTATAACAAATAAGAACATGCATTAGCATAAGCATGACGGAAGCGAGGGCGCCCTGAACACAAGCATAAACTCATAGACATAGGCAAATTTGATAATTACCCTTTTTTGGTTCCATACCTTCTCGATACAGTAAAACAAGATGGCGGACTTTCGCTCATGCTAATGCCCGTGCTTACAGCAGCAAATTCTCATTTGACATAAGCATAAGCGCAAGCACAAGAAGCACAAAAGCATTCGTTCTGCTTGTGCTCACGCTTTTGCTTGTGTTGTGCGCGTCTTCACTGCCACGTACTCATGCTAATACTTGTGCTGTAGACACCCCTATTACCGTTTTGCTTATGCTTGCACTTATGTCTTAGTGAAAAATGGCTTTAACGCCCACAGGTTCGTTCCAAACCTAGACGTTTTCAGTTGGTCGAAGAAAATAAGAGGAAAAGTTGATCGTAGTAATTTGATCAGAACAAACAATTTATAATCACAGTATTGAGTCAAATAACTCTGCATTAGGGGAATGAGGACGGTGACGCTTTTTTTTTTCGTAAGGGGTCAAGGTGAATCTAAGCCAAAGAGAAGTCGCCGAACAAAAGATTTAAGTGTGCAGTCAGTTTTGCTTGCACTTAAGATATACAAACAACGTGAAATAAAAATTCTAAGCGCTATTTTACAGAGTAGCTTTAAAGGTTTTAAATTCTCCGAGCATATCCAAACATAACAACAGGCAAAGACCAAACCACAACACTGCGAACTCTGTGTTCTATATGCTATGATATGAGTGCTTGCGAGTGTGTACTAAATCGAGGGTAGTTTACTGATTCGCCTGCTTAAAAAAACAGTCAAAAGCTCAACAAGCCCTTGATTCTGTTTGAAAATAAGCGCTGTTACAGCTGCGTTTCAACTACGGTAAAGGTTTCTGTATCCACTGTTGTCCATTTTAAACAGTGACGCTTAAACGAGTGAATACTTCTATATCGAGCGCTTTTTAACTAAGATCGATGAACGATTTTCTGTCTTAGAACTCAAGAGTGGGCGTCAGTGAACTCTTTCTCTAAATGATTAAGTTGATGAAAAATCAACTAACGCTTGAAGCATGGATTATCAGCTCAGTGATCAGTACAAAAAAATACTGCAGCAACAAAAAATAGCAACGATAACAATACTTTTATTGAGAAGCTCTCGTCATATAGACAATCATATTAACTTAAACTGATCAAGTACCTCTTTCATGGATGTGAAAATAAGAACTAAGATACTATCTGAATCTCATTAAACCCTTTCCACCATACATTAATTCAACGATTAAACCATCCAATGATTAACGTCAATCAAATTAAAACTGCCGATAGAAAATCCATCTACTTCTTTTAATCAATTATGCAGTCCTTAGTGCTCCTTAAGGTGATCATGATTCCTCAGAAATAAAAGATCCCGAAAGATGTTTTTAAAACGCAATAAAAAGGATAGGTCGCAATTCTCTCAAAAAGAGATACGATGAACCAAACTCGCCTGCGTCATTCCCTCGGTTCGAGTTACATTTTGCGTTAGCTGGAAGCAGTAATTTTTAAGGAAATACTTCCGCAACAGTGTAATATATAGTTTACGGGAAAAAAAATACACCATTTTCAACTACCTCGACTGAAAACGTACGTCCCAGGAGTCGTTGTCTCGAAG